TGTGTGTGAGTGCTGCCTGACAGCCTGAGCTCGGCCTCTATCTCTCTGACACATGGGTCGTCCTCATCATGTACATAGGGATCCAGCTGCTGGTCAATGGTTTCCATCTCCAGCTTGATCTGGTCCCGCATCTCCTTCAGCTGTTTCTTATGTTTTTCTGTGTCATCTTGGCAAACATTGCTATGAATGCCTAAGGTAAATTTGAGAAATGCCTTGTCTACTTCTCTAATAGCTTTTGCTAAGTTACCAATAACTATTTGGTCCTCTGACCTGGCTATTGCTGCATTGTAGAGTGCTGTTGCTTTGACAAAGTCTCCCCCGTCTCCTGTCTGCTGACCTCGCTTACTGTAGACATCCCCCAACTTGCACAGGGGCTCCACCTCTCTCTGGTACTGCTGGGCTGTGGGGTCTGGGGAGAAAGGATGTTCAAATTATAATTAATCAGGTTTAACTTTAGAAGTGGTCACAGCAGACAAGAATCCTCTTCAGAAATTCCTTGAAATGTACGAATCTAAGAGTACCAACTTCTCTCTTACCTCTCACATGTACCGTCTTGAGTGCAGCTGCAAAGTGCTGCTCTGCTGAGTCCAGGTCTGATCTGGCAAGGGAGGAGTCTCCTTTCTTGATGTTATCTGTATATTCACTAAAAGTGAACCAAACTGAATTGTTAAAAAGTGTAGTAGATTGAAATGAAATCAAGAATCCAAATTTAGTTGGGAAAGATATTGTCTCCAACAGGCAAAATTCTGATGCAACATTGACCAAAAATCTGACGAAAACCATTTAACTTCTACAATTTATCCCAATTTCTCTAAATTTACAGATAAAGAAAAAACTATTCTTCTTTTAACTTCCCAAAAACCCACAAATTTTGGAAAAGGTGGGACATTACGTCTTCCATGGTTTACAGAAGAGAAGTCAAACCCTTCAGACATAGTTATAGTTCTAGACAGCTACCTTTCATCATGTAGACTTTAGTTATAGTAACTCTGTTTCATTGTTCTTTTATGTTCTGTAATTTGCAATTAGCCTCCGTACACAAATTTGCAATAAATTTTCATTATTTAGTATATATTTGCTGATTTTTTATGCAGGTGCAGTATGTTCTGTCGACATGATTACCTTGGTATATGTGGCAGGAGAAGATTATCCTCCATAATGTCAGCTGCTCTTGGGATGTTCCTCAGCTGATTGTTCCTTCTTCTCTGAGCGGCCCCCTTTTGACTTCTTGGATGATGGTTGCTGCATCATAATAGTCAACATGTCATTGTGTTACTCCTTCATGATTGTTCATTTTAAAGTAACTTTACTTTTTGTAGATTAATGTATCTTTACCAATAGGTGGACAGGAATTCAGCATGAAACTTCATTCACTAATCTATAAAATTAGTATAAACAAGTAAAAGCCCTAAATGAATGAATGAAGGAATGAATTGTTAATATAATGTGTCTTTTTTGGGACTACACAGCGCCCAGCCCAAATGGGCTTCTGCATGAGGTACAAAAAATGTACTAGTCTGTGTAATGCAAACTCTTTACTGGCCCTGTAACAGTGGGGGGTATAGGCGCTACCAACTGCCCCGGCCGATGGGTCTAGATCTTTTAGCCGAGTGGGTAGGACATCGGAGTCTGAACTGGTGCTCGGGAGGTCGTGGGTTCTAACCCCGGCCCGGGACCACAGGTTTTTATCTGATTCTTCTCGCTCCTCCTGTTTTTCACAGCCCCTTTTCGGGGGCGGGTGGCTTGATGTTGGGCGGGCGGCAACCGTAAAGCGAATTAATCAGGCTAATAAAGACACCAACATCATGATATTAAGTCTTGTAATGCAAACAGTACAGAGTGAGATAAAATTAACTCACCTGGATGTCTGAGACTCCACAGCTGTGAACCTGTCCACTCACAGATTCTGTACCATACAAATCAACACTCTGGGTTTTTCCAATGATGCGTGTCTTTTTTTAGCTTCTGTTGAGACTAATAAGTCCACTGAGTCAAACATTTTGTGTACCAAAGGCTAAAGGTTGTTTACACCACTGATGATAATCAGATAGAGCTGAAGCTGCAATTTGTAACTTTCACACAATAGAAGCCAGATGTATGTTTTAGATTTATACTTTTTTTTTATGAAGAGGTAAAAGTGATCACTGATGCACCACTATGACAGTTTTGATAATGTTTCAAAGTCTACAATTTGAGAAATAATTGGGACTATCCATTAAGTGTTGTAAGATCAATACAATTGAGTCAGCAGTACTAGTCTGTCTCATGACTTTGGGTAAATATTGGGTTGGTGATTATTGAGTGATAATATATAGCTGTGTTGCTGAATGCATGATAAGGGTCACCTCATGTGTGTTTAGTACACCTGTGATTGTCTGGCGTAACTTGTCTGCCTTTCTCAAAAGTATGCAAAATAAATAATTGTTAAATATTGTCCGTCATGGTTTCCTTTTAATATAGAAAAGTCAAGACATGATACTACATGTATTAAATGATTTGATTCTGGGACTTGTTAGAGTGAGATTTTATTTCATCTTTTACATGAATCAACAGCTACACACAATCATTCAATTCGTATGTACAAGTGCCTCTCTGTCAACAGTTTCTGAGATAAATGTCCAGTAACTCTGTTTTTTTTGCTTGTTCAGCCCCAGTACAACACCTATGAGCCTGTGTGGGAGGAAGCTTACATGTAGTTAGAGATTGCATGACCTGTAGTAGACCAACATGGAATGGCTGACCCCCTAGCTGGTTAGCCTGACTTGAATCTATGTGCATGTATCAACTGCCAACCTGTAAGTCCCCACTATCCTCCAAGCAAAGGCTAGGCTTGTTTTTGACAATTTGTTTCAGGCTTTCTTTTTTGTCAGCATACAGAGAAATATGCACCCCCTATGATATTTTCAGGTTGAACAATGATATCATGTCTACATCTACATGTAAATCTCACCTGGATGTCTGAGACTCCACAGCTGTGAACCTGCCTTGGTAGAGTCTGTTACTCCCTGTACGGGTGAGAGTTCTGGGTTTTCCCTCAGAATTTTTACTGCGCCACTGCTGGGACTTTCCACTAAGTCATGCCTACGTACATCAACATGCTTAATATGTATACCTGTGCACCAAGTAGCAATGTTGAACTAGAGGTGTGTTTACATCATGGTTCACTGGGCTCTGTGAATGTCACACATGCATACTGTAAGGCATGGAAAGTGTAGTACTACAAATCTGTGAATCGTACTATCTGGTGTGAGTTCTCTCACTCAATTAGAACTGCGCCACAAATTAAAGGGACTTTCCACTGTCACATGACTGTCAACAAATTGAGTAAACATGTTAAAACATGTCCCATGATAAAGGGTCTGACTTGGAATGTACTTTGAACTGCTAACAATGCGTATTATGTTTACTTTACTTTGTACAGCCCCAGTACAACACCTATGAGCCAGTGTGGGAGGAGGCTTTCAACTTTCTCATCCAGAACCCTCTACATCAGGAACTGCTGGCTGAGGTGGGCATGTATACCTGTTGACATATTATTTTTGCTCGGTTTCTTCTTCTTCTCCAAAAAGTTACCTCTGACCTGGCCAATGGCCTCATTTGTTGACGTCTGTCACCATAGTAACTGGTGTTGGGTTACATAATGTTGCAGTTTCATAGTAGGCATTTAGACTCCTGTCACCTTATACAATGTCATGTATGTGAATGTGTTTGAGTACGAATTAACAGATCAGACCATATCTGAAGGTAAATATTGCATTTGCTTTGCAAATGTTACTTCTCTAGTTAATCCCAAGGCCTCAGTTGGGCAGGCGTCTTTATGACTGTCTTAGAATGAAGAAATTTTAAAGATAAATCATAATGTCTTCAGGTGAAAGATGAGAAGACGAAGAAGACGCTGGGTAAGAAGGTGATCAGTGTGAAGAGTCTCCTGACGTTGGATAAGATGTCGACCAAGAGGCCCTTCCGACTGGACGGGACGAGTGCAGAACTACACATGGAGCTTATCCTTAGGGTAGGTAAACAAACAAACAAACAAACAGCTCATCATCAGGGTAAACAAACAAACAAACAAACAAAAACAGGACTGGTGTTCACTCTATCCCTTCCGACTGGACGGGACGAGTGCAGAACTACACATGGAGCTCATCCTTAGGGTGGGTAAACAAACAGCTCTTCATCAGGGTAAACAAACAAACAAACAACGAGTGGTGCAGAACATGATCCTCAGGATGAGTAAACAAACAACCTAATGATGACATAGCTGGAAACAAGTCTATGACTCTAGACTGAGAGAGGCCAAGGTAATAGACAGAGAGGATATAACAAATGAATTGGGTGGAGAAGAAAGTCAACTGTGATGAACCAGGATGAGTTACCATACAAACTTTTAGCCATGTTTTGGAAAAGCAAAAGGGCCACCTACATAGGCGGCCACATGAACTCTAGTCGGAAGCTCTGAGGAAGGTGTCTAACAGGCATTGAAACATAAAATTGTGTAAAAGAAAACTCCAATATTCTAATTACAAATTTCCCATTTTCCAGATCCTCTCCTCGGAGGCTGAGGAAAGCGACGATCTCGACGAAATCGAGCCGATCAGTCCGACTGCCGCCGGCCCCCCCACCCCGGCCGCGGCGGCCTCTGAACCCTCGCAACCGTCCCCCGCTTCCAGCACGGAGGACAGGCAAGCCAATAACTCGAACGGCAGCGTAGTTAGGCGGCGCACCAACGCAGCTAACGCAGCTCCTGCTACCACCCCAACGTGAGTCAAACTTAACACTCATGTTCACTACACGTACACATGTACTAATTACTCCAATGGCAGTGTAGTTAGGCGGCGCACCAACGCAGCTAATGCAGCTCCTGCTACCACCCCAACGTGAGTCTAACACTCATTTATAATGCTCATAACTATGTCCTGCAATGGTGGCATATCTGTATCTGTATCAGTATAGCCGGTACAACCACCTTTTGGCGTAACACACCAGCTTTGCAGGCACACGGCGCGGCGACAGCTGGCTACATTACACCGATCGACTTGTTACACCTAACCCTTGAACATCCAACTCTTGGCATTGTTTAAAGCTATCTAATGACAATGCCATAGTTGTATCAATGCCAAGGCGTACTGAGCTTCTGCTACCTTAACATGAGATACAAAAAACATGCATGTAAAGTATTAACATGTGGTCATGACTTGCACTAACACTAACTACATGTAGCTTTGCACAAAGCAGAGAGTGGCAAATAAGTGGAAAACAATAATTATACGCTGCTATACTCTATCTACAAAAATGTACACTGTATCTCTTCCACCAGTTCATGATTATGCCAGTGTGGGGGGGCACTATTGTATCCAGAACCATCAACCTATCTAGTTCTATTGCTGATGGAGGGCTAGGGTAAGGATCAGACACAGTTCTGGATAGTCTCTGCTTATTCAAGAAATTTAATGCAGATTTGCCCCAGGCACATTTCTTGATACACATTGACTACCAAGTAAATCTTAAAAGTAATATTTATTTCGGTAAATCAAATATGGCACAGATTACACATCTCTGACCTGTTTTTTCTTCCCTGTTTGTTGCAGAAGGCCGAAGTCTGCACCAGCGGCCGACGGCCCGAATCCCTACGCCTGTCAGGTTCAACTGAGCCTGCATCACAGCACAGACACAGACAAACTACTGGTCACTGTGCATAAAGCTACGTAAGTCTGACTGTGTGTGTGTGTGTGTGTGTGTGTGTGTGTGTGTGTGTGTCTGTGTGTGTGTGTGTGTGCATGTGTGTGTGTGTGTGTGTGTGTGTGTGTGTGTGTGTCTGT